TTTTTTTTGTATCTGGTCTCAACCATAGACCAGGGGGGTCCGGCGTTTTGGGAACGCCGGACCCCCATGAGCAAAAAATTCCGACCGGATTTTGGCAAAAAAAGTCAGTTTTGATTTCGTTCAAAAAATATAATATGTCCGTTTTGACGAAATGGCTGTTCAAAACAGATCTTAATCATACATCACTTCGGACCCCATGCTGCAGACCAAAGCCCTGGCTTTGCAGTGGATTAAAAGAATCCTGTTTTGTCCTGAAGTCCCGTGGAAGGCATTGGCCCGCGAGCAGATCGCCCGACTGGCACCACAGACGACACCCGACTGCGACCCGCTGATGTGGCTGGAAAACCGCGCTTGGACGATCCCCCAAAAAAGATCACAACAGGGGGCCCCCCACCATGACTCAACCAGACAGGCAGCAAGGGCAGACTTGAGGAACGATCCCTTCTGGCCTGCCCTGCTGAACACATGGAGGAGCCTCCCCTTACCAGACAAAACCCCGCGGGGGAGATGGGAGGAGGTGGCTCGTCAACCCCTCTTCGGGAATAGGTGGGTGGTGGACGCAACGGGACAGACCCTCCATTGTGAAGCCTCCCCTTGGCGGATCTGGGTCAAGCGGGGGGTGACCAGGGTGAAAGATATTTGGGACTCTGAAAATAGAGATTGGGCCAAACCGGAGCAGATGAGAGAGGTACTACGTTACAGTCACAAACTGGAGGAATCTCTAGAGACCCTCGTTGAAATGATACATGTAGACTGGTGGAGGATTCTCAGGAAGGGCCCCACGCTGAGAAAAAACGACTGGGTGGCAATCAAAGATCAACCAGCCAAAGTGGGGAAGATCGTACATCAAGAAACTAATGGAACGATAAAGATGCACCTATATAAGTTAAATGAGAATAACGAGATTCAAATATCTGAGCGTGAGGAGGTAACAAGAAATCATAAAGAAGACCTTTGCAGAATAAGAGTGTTGAACGATAACCACCAATAGATAGCATACCTCCCGCAACTCCCGGTGCACCTCCTCCCCCTAGACCCGGCTGAATGGGTGTGGACGACACCCGCAAGGTCGGGGAGGAGGAACACAAAAACTCTCTTCGGCCTGACGGTCAAGGCGACCTACAGGCTCCTTAGACCGAGACTCAACCTGCGGGACCAGGTAAAGGACCGCTGGATGAGGCATTTGAACTTGGGAACAAATAATATGAGAATAATAAAATGGTTCAGTTTAACAAAAATCAAACCTGCCAAATTTTTGAGCACCGCTGCCTTCCCACCAACAATTGGCTCATAGACAGAACTTGCCTTGAGCAAGCGGGGAAAGCTTTGCCCTGGTGCAAGCTGTGTATGGATGCCTTCCCGTCCCGGAAAGTACCGGAGACCATCGAGCACATATTTCTACAGTGCCCGGGTGCAGTATGGCTTTGGAGATGGTGGGATAGAATTTGGGATCAACTAGAAACGCAGTCCCCATGGCAGTGGGACTGGAAAGCCCTGCTCTGCGAAACATGGACAGACGAAACGTTGGACGACTTTACAATCAACATGTTCAACTTGGGACGCAGGGCGGTGATCTGGGCCCTCTGGCGAAGGCGCTG